CTCACATTTGCATGTTTTCGAACTGCTAGGTTGGCAGAAGCTAGGGCTGACAGCGGAAGCTCACGCCGCTCCCCGGAATCGAACCTGCGACCTTTCGATCAACAAGCTCAGCAGCTTAGTGCTTTAACCCACTGCGCCACCGGGGGCTCCCAGCAACTACAACTCCCAAATGTCAAGATCTATTTTCCCCAGACTCCACCAGTATTCACATTTGGGCATATTGAGTATTTGTGCCAAGTTTAGTCTCAAACCGTGTGTGTGTATGTGTGTGTGTGTGTGTGTCTGCATGTGCATGTGTGTGTGTGTAAAGGTTTTCCCCTGACATTAAGTTGAGTTGTGTCTGACTCTGGGGGTTGGTGCTCATCTCCATTTCTAAGCTGAAGTGCCAGCATTGTCTGTAGACACCTCCAAGGTCATGACTGCATGGGGTGCAGTACCTATTGATCTACCCACATTTGCATGTTTTTGAACTGCTAGGTTAGCAGAAGCTGGGGCTAAACAGTGGGAATTCATGCCCCTTCCCAGATTTGAACCTGCAACATTTCAGCTCAACAGTTTAACTCACTGCACCACCACCTATATATATATAGTATAGGGAAGGGTTAACACTCCTGTGGTGTTTGTTTTGCTGTCTATGTCCCTGTTCAGAAGATTTCACCTCCCTGTAAAAATTGGATTTTGAAAAAAAAAGTCTTGTGGAAAAAAGGATTGGTGATAAAGTTTTGGTGGGGACACCTTTTCCACATCATAACTCTTCCAGGGGTGGATTTTTCTTCTGAGCCGTAGATTTATCTCACTTCCTTTTGTTTCAACCCTGTTCTTAATTATGTGTTGTTTGTAAGTTAGATGTTTTGTAACTTGGAAACTGCCTATAACCTCTTCTGACCTGACCCCATTAACCTAAGGAAAATGTCAGTCACCCAGGCTATGATGGGTAGCACAATGGGCCTCCTTCTCTACATGCAGCCCATGCCAAGTAAAGCATGTTTCCATCAGATCTTGGGATGAGGAAGGTTGAGCCATAGGCAACTGATACATAATACTGGCCCATGTTCCTAGACTTCATATTTATGAAGACATTCCTAAATGCATTTATGAGCAAAGCGGAGCTCAAATCTCAAGCAGAGAAGCTCTTGCACAAGCTTAGTTGGGGATGAGTTTTCCAGAACAAGGTCCTTGCTTTGCGGCAGCAGGTGGCTTACTTATCATAGAGTTTAAGTCAGAACTTTAAGAGAACTATCCAAGAGGCTGATCTAGTTTGTGAGGCTAGGGTTCCACATCTTTATTAAATGTTTGAATAAAACACAGAGAGGAATCAACATCCTGATCTAGAAGGTACCAGACACCATTTTCTTGGATGCTCCCTGTGATTAGAAAAAACAGACATATGCAAGCAAAATCAATTATGCTAATCGGCTATAATTTGCATAATTTATAGCTGTGACAGAAGATAAAGCCTGTGGGGGACCCATTTGCATTCCCTGGTATGGAATTCCACATTTATTTTGTCTACTCAGCCATCTTTTCCCCTCTGTAGGAAGCCCTGGGTCTCTCCAGAGTGACTCTCCTGGAGCAGAGAATTATGCCTTTTAAGCACTCAGCTCAGACCCTTCTTCATTTCCAGGGGTTTCTACATCCATTGTGATTCGTTTTAGTCAAGAAGGTTGCTGGCTGCGCTTCTAAATTGTACGGTCATCATTTATTCCTTTAATCATTTTTGCAGTGTGAGTTTAACTTTTATTGTGAATCCTACACTAAAAGCCCACAATACCTGCAAAACGAGTAAAACCCTCTTCCACACCATTTTGAGCGCCCCTGTTTCTTGCAAATACACGCTGAGTCTCGCTTATCTGGAAATCCAAAATCCTCCCAAAGCCAACAGATTTTGCTACCAGTCACCAGCTTCTGCTTTTGGGGAGAGGCAGCTAGTCACACATCCAGCGCTCACTGAGTTCTTCCAGCAGAAACCCTCATGAAGAGGGGAAAGTGGGGATGACTTCTTTTACACAAGACTCTTGCAAAAAGGGAATGTCCCAGATGCTTCTGCCCTTCCCTTGCACCTGACCAATGGTGGTGCACAGCACCCTGAAAATGGGCTATGAGATGAATATGGAGCAAACATGTTGGGCACCAGCTACTGTTCAGCCCAGAGAGAATGCGAAAGATTCAAAAGTCCTTTCCCTCCATTCCTGGCTACTTTGTCATAATGGTGGAAAGTGTGCTTTTTACAACGGCTTTGTATAAGCAGAGACTTTCCCTCTTCCATCCTCTTTTCTTTCCTCCTTGAACAAAAACACACTGGGAACTGGGGGGGTGACTAGCCCCCTTTCCCCCATTCATCATTCACTATGGATATAAATACAAATATCCCAAAATTCGAAAGAATCTGAAATTCAAAAAGCCCCTGGCTCCAAGCATTTGAGATATATGAGACTATTTACAGGCCAAAATGACAATTTTAAGTGAGATTGACAACATAAAGCCAAAACCAGAACTGAGATCTTCAGAGCATTATGGGACTCCTGTTTCTATGGCAGTGGTTCTCAACCTGTGGATCCCCAGATGTTTTGGCCTTCAACTCCCAAAAATCCCAACAACTGGTAAACTAGCTGGGGTTTCTGGGAGTGGTGGGCCAAAACACCAGGGGACCCACAGCTTGAACACTACTGTTCTAGGGAAAAGTGAAATATAAATAAACATGATGGTGAGTGTAGTCTCTGTTTAGTCATGGTATTATGTATCACCTGTCAGCCCTCTAGGACCTATAATAATATGTCAGTTTCAGAAATGACAGCTGGATGTAGGTCAGGGGAGAAACGGTCCCTAACCTCTATTCTGCCATGGAGCCTTTTCATGGGGCAACAAATAGACATGTTAGTCTGGAATGTCTGTATGCACCTTACGGACTAATTGAAAGGACAAAACTGGTCTCAAAAAAGCTTTCATAGACTATGTATTGTCGAAGGCTTTCATGGCCGGAATCACTGGGTTGTTGTAGGTTTTTCGGGCTATATGGCCATGTTCTAGAGGCATTCTCTCCTGACGTTTCGCTTGCATCTATGGCAAGCATCCTCAGAGGTAGTGAGGTCTGTTGGAACTAGGCAAAAGGGTTTATATATCTGTGGAATGACCAGGGTGAAACAAGGGGCTCTTCTTTGCTGGAGCTAGGTGTGAATGTTTCAACTGACCACCTTGATTAGCATACAATGGCCTGACTGTGCCTGGGGCAAACTTTTGTTGAGAGGTAATTTCATAGACTATGTCTGCTTCCTCAGATGCATGGACTGAAATGTTTAGGAACAGACTTTTACAGGCAGGCTGTGTATGTGAGTAGCCATAGAAATGCAAAGCTTATAGGCAAGGTGATGAGGTGAGAAGTTCAGTTTTAAGAATGATTTTTGTAAGAGCCATTGGGGGGTCACTGGGGCAACAGCTAAATTGGATTCAGGAAGCCAGTGACCCAGTGTTGTTTATCATCACTGGAAAATTAGCAGTAAAGGATGCCTACCAGCTCAGGTACAGTTAGGCTGATTAGCCATCTGCCTTTCAATGGATTACACTGAAACATATTTGGTTATGGCCAAAGCCTGACTGTCAATTACTCTTCTTTTAGTAATCTTGAAAGGACTTTTAACAATATAACTGGTGTCACACTGCAAAGAGAAGGCTTCCATTTGCAGAATGGAGCAACTCCCCAAGTGCTTGGAGGACTTACATTTTGAACAACAGCTCCCAGATCACATGGCATTTGTAGCTGTAGCCAAAGCAGCATGTTTTCCATATTATGCAAAATGGGAATGTTTTTTGTTTGGAAGTTCTAGTGGGGGAACACAGTTATAGTATACCCGGGACAGAAAACTGGAGACCTCAATATACTGCTTCTATACCTGGGATGTTGTCCTCTTCCACTGAGCTCACAGCTTTGAAAAGGATGCTCATGGAGCAGTGAGAAAGGAAGGGGACACCCGACTAAGCCAGCCAGATCAGCCGAATCAACCCTGGCAATCAATGGGGAGACAGATGCCACAGCCAGATTGCCCTCGTATGCCAGTATCATGGTACAATCTTGGCTAAAGAGAAGCTATTGCAGATTAGTAGGAGATTCTGGGAGTTATAGCCCAAGCTTCTGCTTCCCTCTTTTCCAAAGAGTTGGGAGACCCACAACAGCAGATTTAGGGATAGATTCAGTGGATGGAGTGGGAGGAAGTAGATATCAATGTGTACATTAGTTACAGTAGACAAACGTTTCAGACAAGATGTGCTTGGGGAGGAAAATATCTTCTTTTAATTCTTTCCTCTTTTGGATTATCTTTTATAGTCATGCAACTGAATCAAAATAGCTGCAATATAAATATATGACATTTACTCAGTCATAGTTATATGAGATAATATAAATGTACCCATGAAAGTCACAGCTTGGGGCTTGAACAGGTTATAACTTTCTGTTCCCCTTTCTGCCAATCAGCATCTCAACTCTTGGTTTAAATTTCCCTTTCATTTCTCAGATCTTGTGTTATCTTTTGAGGAAGTGTCTCATAATTGTTTGCACGAATAATGATCTTTCTCTCTATGTGCAATCTGCCGAAGAATTGTATTCAGAATTTTGAATCTGCCTCTGTCACCTTCTTTGTTTTTTCTCTTTCTGTAACTACTAAATGAGTTTTAACAGTGAGGCTTCTCTCTCTCTTGGTTTCAGGACAGTCTATCTATCTATCTATCTATCTATCTATCTATCTATCTATCATCTATCTATCTATCTATCCATCCATCCATCCATCCATCCATCCATCTGCACATTCTTCCCTGATACTATTCCTGATTTTGACCCATATTGCTGATGACAAGTTTACACATATGGGCAGTTACCATCAATTCATTGTCTTTACCTAGTTAAGACTTACTATAGGGTTCAGGCCTAAAAAAAATAACTTTCCTTGAGCTCTGGGAAGGATATTTGCTCAAGCTGTTTTCGCTCCCGTTCTGCACTGGTGAATACTTACAGCTGTCTTCTTCTTCTGTAAATACACTGACAACATAACAGGCATAGACAAAGCCCACCAGCTGGAAAAAGAAAAGAGCAGACAAATTGGTTAACTTCACGAACAACACTTCAAAAACTGCCATATGTGGTTTCAAAACATGTACACCCTGCATCTATGACACTCTCCTGCTGCTGCTGTTTTGATGGTATATTCATCTATTGTGGGTTTATTGCACTTCTATATCACTGTTAAGTCCTGGGATGTGTACTTTAGTTGGATGTGTAGAATATGTTACTGTAGTCTCTTAAATGATAGTATTAGGTTATATAGCAGAAAATGTTCTCCAGAACCTTTTAGTCACACTCCTCTGGACACATTCCAGCTTGTCAACATCTCCCTTCCATTGTGGTGCCCAGAACTGGACACAGTATTCCAGTTGTGGTCTAACCAAGGCAGAATAGAGGGGTAGCATGACTTCCCTGGATCTAGACACTAAACTCCTACTAATGCAGGCCAAAATGCTATTGGCTTTTTTTTACCGCCACATCACATTGATGGTCCATGTTCAACTTGTTGTCCACGAAGACTCCAATATCTTTTTCACATGTACTGCTCTTGAGCCATTAGTCCCCCATTCTGTATCTTTGCACTTCATTTTTTTCTGCCTAGGTGGAATATCTTGCATTTGCCACTGTTGAACTTCATTTTGTTAGTTTTGGCCCATCTCTCTAATCTGTCAAGATCGTTTTGAATTCCCTACATGCCATTCTTTAAAGTGAGATCCACCTCGATAGCAAAGTGCAGAAGATATACAGGAACCTTTCACACTACACAACTGTAGCACTATGATTCCACTTTGGGGCTAAAGGCTGAAGTAATTAAGACAGTAATAAAAGTGACACTCAGGGTCTTACAAAATAGAAAAGAGATACAAGAAAAACTATGGACAGCTAGCCCTCAACAGCCATATGTTCTGTATTCTAGAATCTTCACTGTTTAAAAACATTCACAAGAAAGTTTCAAAAATCAAATCCTGATATTGCCATTTTCTATAAGGGGTAATATTTCACTATGCCATTGTATATAACGAGATTTGTGAATCCATGGATTTACTATCCACTGGAACCAAGCCTTGGTATCCATTGTTATTCATTGAGGTGCAGTGGTTTGAGTGTTGGAGTATGGCTCTGGGAGACCAGGGTTCAGATCCCCATTCAGTCATGGAAACATACTGGGATCACAATCACTCTGTCGCACCCCAAGAAAAAAGCAATGACAACTCCCCTCTGGACTAATCTTGCCTAGAAAACCCCATAATACGTTCACTCTAAACACCTTCGCAGAAGCATACACAAAGTTTGGCCTGTCACTGAACATCGAGAAAACCAAAGTGCTGTTCCAGCAGTCACCAGCCATCCCCTCCCCAATGCCAGAGATACAGCTTAATGGTGTAACATTAGAAAATGTTGACCATTTCTGCTACCTTGGCAGCGACCTCTCCACCAAAGTCAACATCGACACCGAAATACAACACCGCCTGAGCTCCGTCAGTGCAGCATTTTCCCGGATGAAGCAGAGAGTGTTTGAGGAATGGGACATCCGTAGGGATACCAAGGTGCTTGTCTATAAAGCTATTGTCCTCCCAACCCTGCTATATGTCTGCGAAACGTGGACTGTCTACAGACATCACATGCAACTCCTGGAACGATTCCATCAGCGCTGCCTCCGGAAAATCCTGCAAATCTCTTGGGAAGACAAGCGGACAAACGTCAGCGTGCTGGAAGAAGCAAAAACCACCAGCATTGAAGCGATGGTCCTCTGCCATCAACTCCGCTGGGTCGGCCACGTTGTCCGGATGCCTGACACCGTCTCCCAAAGCAGTTGCTCTACTCTGAACTTAAGAACGGAAAATGGAACGTTGGTGGACAGGAAAAGAGATTTAAAGATAGCCTCAAAGCCAACCTTAAAATCTCTGGCACAGACACTGAGGAAGCCCTGGCCCTTGAGCGCTCCAGCTGGAGGTCAGCTGTGACCAGCAGTGCTGCAGAATTCGAGGAGGCATGAATGGAGGGTGAAAGAGAGAAATGTGCCAGGAGGAAGGCGCGTCAAGCCAACCCTGACCGGGACTGCCTTCCACCTGGAAACCAATGCCTTCACTGTGGGAGAAGATGCGGGTCAAGAATAGGGCTCCACAACCACCTACAATCCACAAGGAAACCCATCATGGAAGACTATCTTACTCGTCCAACGAGGGATCGCCTAAGTAAGTAAGTAAGTAAGTAAGTAGGGTCACCGTACACCCGAAACAACTTGCACAAAACATAAACTGTAACAACTAAATTATTATTACCAATACTAATGTCAAGAGCTTGGAAAACCATAGTCCAGCTCCTAAAGCCTGCCAGCTACTGGCCATGTTGATGAAGGAATGCTGGGAGCAATAGTCCCAATGATAGCTTTTCCAATCTCAGCTCTTCTCCTGTCCTTTATTCTCTCCATCAGAAACAAAAGCATCTCCCTTGTCTTCCAGCAAAACTACCTTCCCACGATTTCCATTGTTGGCTGGAACTTCTTCCTGGGCTCCAACCAACCCAAGAAAATGAAGAGAGTGCTCTCTCATCCTTGATTTTCATAACTATTAATAGGAAGCTGAAGGGAATCAGTTTTAAGGGGGTGGTTTTTGACACAACAATGGAAGACATTACTCAACTCCTCCTTTCAGCCAGGAACTCTCAAAGCCAAATGCATTCCCTAATCCCCCCATGGAAACCTCATTATCCTGCCTTTTGTTTGGTGATGTGATGTATGTTTCTCTTGTATTAAAAATGAATGACTCCACTTTCCAGAGCCTCCTCATGCATCATTCTGTCTTCCTGCAGTGTGAGTAATTGTTAGATTCTAATTCCTTGTTAAAGTGGATTGAGTTCACAGTGGAAAACAAATAATTAGAGTCAACAGTAACCTTAAAGCTACAGTTCTGAGCTAGTCTATAAGGAACCAAAGGATGCTTGAATGAGAACGCACAAGACCTTCCAGTATAAAGGCTTTGAAAAGCCTTCATTGATCATTTATTCATATTTATTTATTAAAATATTTATATCCTGCCCTATAACCAAAGATCTCAGGATTGCATCCAATAAAATCAACCTAGAACAATTTAAAATGTACAAAGGAAGTACAAAGGCAGGTTGACAGTTGAACATTTAGAAAATAAAAATAACATATCCCAGAAGACGTTTACTTCTTGGGAGGAGAGCAATGACCAATGGTGATAAAATAGTGAAGAGTAGAGACATCACACTGGCAACAAAGGTCCGCATAGTTAAAGCAATGGTACTCCCCGTAGTAACCTAGGGATATGAGAGCTGGACCATAAGGAAGGCTGAGTGAAGGAAGATAGATGCTTTTGAACTGTGGTGTTGGAGGAAACGTCTGAGAGTGCCTTGGACCACAAGAAGATCCAACCAGTCCATACTTCAGGAAATAAAGCCCAACTGCTCACTGGAGGGAAGGATATTAGAGGCAAAGGTGAAGTACTCTGTCCACATAATGAGAAGCCAGGAAAGCTTGGAGATGGCAATGATGCTGGGGAAAATGGAAGAAAAAAGGAAGAGGGGCCAACCAAGGGCAAGATGGATGGATAGTATCCTTGAAGTGACTGGCTTGACTCTGAAGGAGCTGGGGGTGGTGATGGCTGACAGGGAGCTCTGGCGTGGGCTGATCCATGAGGTCACGAAGAGTCTGAAGTGATTGAATGAATAAACAGCAATAACCCATTTTTCCTTTAGCTGAAATCCCAAGCACCCACAATAATTGGAACATCCCATATTTCCTTCCTTCTTTGTATTTTTCCCTCATGCCAATATTAATAATAATGTTGAAGATGTCACACATTCTGGTTGAGGTGTCTAATCCCTTCTAAAGACTAGAAGAAAGTCTAACCTATTGGCAGATCTATCATCCATGGCCTCTTTTACACTCCTTTGAACTAGCTATGATCACATTCTTTGTCACTGAATTCCATAAATGAAACATGGAATGTAAAAAAAAATTCTCAAAATTTGTAAGCCATGGCCCTGAGTTTCCAAGACCTAGACAAAGTTGTTAATAAGATGGGTGTCTTGGAGTCTTTCATGTCTCCTATTGACAGGGTCACCATAAGTCAAAGCTGACCTGCAAACAATGAAAATATGAGGTGTTCAGCCACAGCATCCACAGCAAATGTATAGTTAAAACGTTCTACATAATGTTTTCCCAGGCTGCCAAAGATATATAAAAATGTGAGTCATAGCATATTCTCCCTTCCGAAGTTGCAAGTAGGCACAAGAGATTCACCATGTTTTTTCTGAGTCAAAGCCAAAACTAGCTCTTATCATAATCCCCTTACTGAGGCAAAGTTTTGCCTAAAGCAGTTGTTTATATATATTTCAAAGCTTAAAGAAAGGGTGGGTTTCTCTTTTATAGTCACAGAGCACATTTTAACTGCTTCCTTATGTGTGGACGGACAAACTCTGTTAGAAAACAGCCCAAATGCATGGCACAAATAATGGCATCTTCTCAGAACTTTCCCTATCATTAGGCAGAGTAAGATGGTTGATCAAGTATCAGATGCTGGGAGAAAGAAGCAAAGTGTTGGAAGAGAGAGTTATGTACAATGTGACTTGCCCTATGCTCCCTAAACTAGACTGCTAACCTTGGATACAGAGAAATGTGTTCATCAAAAGTTAGTGCCGAAGAAAGAAGCAATGTCTTGTCCTGCCCTCTGGGTATTAGCTACTTCTCCTAATTTCCAAATGACATTACATTCAGAGGGATATCTAATACCCCAGGAGAATAGGATCAAAATCCAAAACAGCAGATTAAAACTAACAAATAGGATGTGTTCCGTCTTCCAGGAGCTTCGTTTGCATTGTCTTTTAGCTGCATGGGATAGCATTCCTTTGCATTTCCCCAGGTTTGCTATAGACCCAGCAGCAACCTGGAAGTTAAACAGTATCAGAGTCTGGAAAGCCAGGTTGCAGGCCCTCTGCAGTTATTGGTTTAGAAAGTATCTCTTTGGGTTTGGAGTCCGCCCTTTTT